TTTTTTTTTTTTTGAAAACTTGTTTGTTTTGAACTGGTGCGTATTGTAGTTCATCTCTTTTTTTCTTTTGCTACCGTTGAAGATTTGCTAATACAACTGTTTTCAGTCGGTAACAGTGACTGTCACAGAACCTGTGAGCGTGACGTTCTCAGTTAAATACATGAACCATTTTGCTAAAGCGTCCAGTCTCTCAGACAGGGTTTGAGTTCCTATTGAAGTGCTTTAACTTAATGCGCTTTTCACTCCACGTTTTCTCTATTTAAACGCTTGAATTTATTCAAGGTGAAACTCTCTATGACCAACGAGTTGCCAATTGTGGTCGAATACCCTATTGATGACGACAGCACCAGTTACCTCCGTTTCTTTTTGGCTCCAAAAATCCAGGAAGATGAGGAGGGAATGAATGAGTAAACCACAAGTTTTTGTCCGCAGTCCGGTGAATTTTTGCCGCTCAATAACTTCTTGTACAATATATACGTGTTTCATGTGACGTTGTAGCCTTATCTCGAGTTAAAATTTTTCCTTGTTTCCTGTTCTTGTCTAACAAAGTTTCGCATCTCAAAACTGGGCTGGATCCTCACCGCTCTTTCGGAAGTCATGCAGGTGTCATACACATTGCTGGTAGATCAACGCAGTTTGTTGCTTTACCACTAGTGCGAAATTGTAGTAGAGTAACGGCACCCTGAGATATGGCGAGCGGCGTGAGCACAATGAGGACACGAAGACATGACTGCGATGCCTTTAAATCACCGGTATCAAACCACTGTAATAAAAAGGCGGAGCAGTTTCTCACTTATAACGACTCGTGCAGAGGAAAAAACAACTACACGGTAAGCAAAATATGCCCACTTCTCATTGTTAATTCCTGCTGGTGGGACTTCTCACAGCAATAACTACAGACCAGGAGGTCCCAAGAGGGTATGAACTACGACTTATTTTCGTTACTGGAGTCAATACGAAGACCCCTCTACATTGCCAAACAACCAGTGAAGGAATCCAACCCACGCGATCTGCTCTAAAACCTTCCGAATTGAAGAACGTGCGCCCCAGTTACGCTGAAATGTCAGCAGTTTTAGTCCAGACGGCAAACGAGATACTAGGTTATTTGAAGAAAGCTATTCTACATTGTGGTACCCTTACTGTGTAGGAAACTTTTACAAGGGGTTTACGCCATTTGAACAATGGAGCAAAACTGAACCACGAAACAAAGAAATTCACGTCAATAAGCAGGGACGAGCGCAAAAAATCAATACAGGACGGTTACAAACAATAAAAAAACTTTCACACGGGAAATACTCTAGAGAGTATAATTTACACTAATTTAGTATTCCTCCCCTTCGCCTTCAGGTTCCATCGAGTCGTAACCAACCTGTAATGAACATCCAGATATTAAAAGCGATTCACTATAAAGAAAAAAGGTTTCTTTTCATTTCAGTCACGTACCTCTTCATAGTCTTTTTCTAAAGCTGCAAGGTCTTCTCTAGCCTCTGAAAATTCGCCTTCCTCCATCCCTTCCCCAACGTACCAGTGGACAAATGCCCGTTTGGCATACATTAAGTCAAATTTATAATCCAGTCGGGCCCAGGCTTCAGCAATTGCAGTGGTATTTGCCAGCATGCAAACTGCTCGTGGGACCTTAGCCAAATCTCCACCAGGAACGACCGTTGGAGGCTGGTAATTAATACCCACCTAGAACGAGTTTTTTTGAGATATCTTGAGAAGGGATAGAAAATCCGGTCGTCCGAGTTTTCATCTGAGTCGAAAAAAGTAACAACGGAACAAAGCAGTTACCTTGAATCCTGTTGGACACCAGTCAACAAATTGTATCGCCCTCTTAGTTTTGATAGTGGCAATGGCTGCATTTACGTCTTTAGGCACAACATCGCCCCGATAGAGTAGGCACACGGCCATATATTTGCCATGGCGAGGGTCACACTGTAAAACTGAATTTATAATGGCTAGCGCAGGATATTCTAGACATTTTCGAAGGTGATAAAGGATCAAACATGGTCCGTCGTGAAAACTTGTTAAATACAAGAACAGCTCACTTTAACCATCTGGTTCGCTGGTTCAAAGCATGCGTTAGTGATGTCTGCTACTTTAAGAGCTTCATGGTGAGCCTTCTCTGCTGAAATAACAGGAGCATAGGTAGCTAGCGGAAAATGAATTCTTGGGTAGGGCACGAGGTTGGTCTGGAACTCGGTCAAGTCGACATTCAAAGCACCATCAAAACGAAGGGATGCAGTGATTGATGAGACTACCTAAAACAAACGCTATTTTTGTACCCATGAACTGTTGTGATAAAACAGGAAAGTTAGAGATACTTTCTTGTTTTCTCAAACCGATCCATATAAAGGTAATAAAATAATGTAAAAACAAATGCAACATGAACATGAAATGTGGTAGTTACTGCACCTAAAAACCCACTTGAGAAATCAAACGGTTAAGATTTGTGTATGATGGCCGCTCCACATCCAAACAGCGACGACAGATATCGTAGATGGCCTCATTATCGACCATAAAAGCACAGTCGGAATGTTCCAGGGTAGTGTGGGTGGTTAAAATAGAGTTATACGGCTCGACTACAGCAGTCGATACCTGAGGAGCTGGATAAATAGAGAACTCCAGCTTGCTCTTCTTGCCATAATCTACAGAAAGCCTTTCCATAAGAAGCGATGTAAAACCGGATCCCGTTCCTCCGCCGAATGAATGGAAAATAAGGAAGCCTGCAATTAAAATGACGAGTTATAGGCGCTATTGCACTACGCCTGGTTTTCGCTAACCCAGTTTCATTTGTTGCACAGAGCTTTCAATATCATTTAGTTCATCTGCGATAGCTTCAGAATTTCCTGTGCATTTTTTGCTAACTTTTTAGAGGGCTAATGCTACAGTTCTGCCTAAGTTTCCACAGCGTTTCACAATGAAACTTTCTTGTCGGCAAGTAGTGTAATAAATATTCCTAGCTGTCCTGGAATTACTTCTGCTGTTCTAAAAATGCTTACGGTCCTACCGGTAGTAACTGAAAATGATTCTAAAATTCATGTTTAAAGTAATTTCCACAACTCCTGTTTACTTCCATCCATGTAGCGAGCTTTTATACAGCATAAAACATGGGACAGTTATACACCAATTTCACTTTCAACCACTCCTTTAAGCTTTCAGATACAAACTAGTATCGTGGGCTTTTGTACGAACACTACATAGAGCCGGCGGAATCAAATGAAAAAGCAGTAAGAAGCCATGGAAGGTATAAGTGGTCTTCCCAACCCACACATCTATAACTATGTATCTCAGAAAATTTCTCCCATCAAATTCCTAGTCATTTTACACAAAAATAGCTAAATTTTATTTAAAGAGCTAAAACATTGTAACTACAAAAAAGTGTTTCTAAGTGGGCCAGAAATTTATCAAGAAATGTGAAAGCTGCGATTTTGAGGATGAATCTCCAAGATTCCTGTAATTGGACATATAAAGTACAGTCAGTATCTGTAAAAGATAAAAAACGCTCCATAGTGTTACGCTATTAAAGTTGAAAATAAGCCATAGCTCTAACTTTTCAGGAAGTTTTCAAGTGCATAGGCCTGCAATTACAGTAGACGGAGTTGAGAGCTCTATACATAAAAAATGAACGTAATTTGGCGGTGAAAGAAACGATGCTTGGTGGTGGCTACATTAGTGTCGAATCACGTTCAATACGTTTTTTGATGGTAAATCATTGTCGGTAAATTATTAAGGGACCATTGACCAACCTTGAAGACCAAGACAGTTTTCTGCTAGACGGCGTATTCTGTCCAAAACCAAATCAATGACTTCTTTACCAATAGTGTAGTGACCCCGGGCGTAATTATTCGCTGCGTCTTCTTTACCAGTGACCATCTGCTCCGGATGGAATAGTTGCTTGTAAGTTCCAGTACGGATCTCATCTAGAAACCAGTGTAAAGTTTAGAATACAATTTTAAACAAATCTGCCTTGAATATGCAT